TTACCAGTTAGGGTTCGCTGGGAGACTGGAGGGATGCCTCTTGGAGCGTGTCTGCCCACGCACCCGAGGCAGGCAGAAATAAGGGGGTGATGTGTACCCCAGAGTGGCTCCCTGCTCGACAGTAATCCAGATGGAGCAGATGGGCGGGGGAGGGACGGAACGCCTGAACACACTGTCTGCACACCTAGGCTGTAAAAGTAAACTGTGAACTTGGATGAACCAATTTACCGCTAATTCAAACTTTTTTCTTTCTTTCTGGTGCCCATACGTTTCAGGTAGCGGATGGGTGTGTGTTTTATACGTACACACGCCGACACGCTTTCTCTTTTATGGGAATCCTTCCCATCACAAGAATTTGCTTAAAAAAAATAAAAAAAAAAAGACCTATAAATATCCTAATTCAGATGCTGAAATGGACTGCAGCTTTGGGGGAAGTATATCTTTTATAAGAATTAAGGATTCCATGTTTCCTGGTATGGTGTTCATAAGTACATACTGTCACCTGCTCTAATAATTCCTGAGAGACTGTAGCTGCCCCCTGCTGGGAAGCAGAATGCCGTGGCTTCTGGCTACCTCCTCCCAAGCACACTCTCCCTGCATGCAGCTAACATGGTGCTACAAAAGCAATCTGTGGCCAGAACAGGCGACAAACATCCCTGATGGATGCAATGCTGGTGACTAAATCATGCTGACACATGTCTTCCCTCCCAGAGATCTCTATGCTTCCTTTTCATCCGGAAGCATCAGACATCGTGGGATTTTGAAGAAACTGAGGCTTTGTGACCCAAAACAGCCATTGTCAAATACTGCAGGTTAGCAGCTAGCCGATAGTTTTGTACACGTTCTTAAGCTTCGGAGAACTTAAAATTAAACTTGATGCTAACCTGCAGCCATTCCAAAGTGCTAAATGCAAATTAAGTCCAAAAGACCACAAAACATTGTAAAAATTTCAAGTGAAAAATAGACTATAGAACTTTCAGATCGCTAGGCAAGTAAAAGCTGCTGCTTCTAAACACTAACAGACATCAGCACTGAACTACAAAGTGTCATTTAGGCTCATATTTTAAGTGTTCAATTTGCGTCCAGCCAGCATGGCTCAGTGGTTGAGCACTGATCTATGAACCAGGAGGTCATAGTTTGATTCCCGGTCAGGGCACAAGCCCAGGTTGAAAGCTCGATCCCGTGTGGAGTGTGCAAGGAGGCAGCCGATCAATGATTCTCTCTCATCATTGATATTTCTCTCTCTCCCTTCTTTTCTGAAATCAATTAAAAAATATATTTATATATATTTAAATATATATTTTTATCTTATTTTCTTTTTTTTAATATATTTTTATTGATTTTTTACAGAGAGGAAGGGAGAGGGATAGAGAGCTAGAAACATTGATGAGAGAGAATCATCCACCAGCTGCCTCCTGCACACGCCTCACTGAGGATGTGCCTGCAACCAAGGTACATGCCCTTGACCGGAATCGAACCTGGGACCTTTCAATGCACAGGCCGACGCTCTATCTACTCAGCCAAACTGGTTTCGGCTAAATATATATTTTTAAAATAAGTATAATTATTCTTTATTTTACATATATTTAAGTATATATTTTAAAATAAATATAATTATTTTTATTTTATATATATTTAAATATATAAAAATATATTTATTTACTTTTTCTTCTAAGTGTCCAATTTGGGGACGAAATGGGATGGTTTTGAATAGGATCCGGAAACAGTACAAGCAGTGAGCCGGACATCTGACAAATGCTTACGTATGAATTCTGACCACAAAACACACACCTTCCACCTGAACCAACCACCACGAACATGGATGTGCCCTTCACAGAACCCTGCGGGAGGTGAAGGCATTCCCGCATCCCTCCGGAGACAGGCGCCCGGTTTTAGAAAGGCTAGCACCACTTTTCGTTTTCACAGAAACCTTACAAGTGTTAAGGCTTAGCTTCTCAATCTGGTAGAAAGAGCAGGATTGCGTCTGGGGGCTAAGTACATCGGAGCGTGTGAGCTGCTGTGTTTACCTACAGATGAAACGTGCAAACGTTCAATAACCTGGGCCTCCTTTATTTCTCTTAGATCTCCTAACGACAGTACTGAGAGAGCCCATACAATAATGGCACCTTTCACATTTTCTTCTTGTTGTATTTGAAATAAGTGAATAAAATTCCATTCAATACATTTAAGCCTAGCTTGGTTCCAACCACGCCCCCTGCCTGCACCGCTCCATGCTACCAATGACCTTGGCCTGTAATTTACATGTTTCTCCCAACTCGTTCTGAAGGAGTCCTATTGATCTCTGGTTTTAGATCCCCTCTATAATAGAATCTAATTTCCGTTTCTACTATTATCTATACAGCATCACAATGGCTCTGAGTGAATCTTTGCATCAAAATATCCTGGTCGATTTCAGATATTTTCAAAATCGGGATTATATAAAATGTATTAAAGAAGAGTAGGTTTCAAAAGAAAAATGGATACAATGACAGTAAGTGGATGTCCTCTAAAAAATGAGGTTCTAACATCTAAAAAGGCATCAACAATACATTTTCCATCCACTGGAAAAAACGTTTTCCGTGATCTGAAACAAAATTATAAACGCGTTTTCTCTGAATAGCAATTCCCAACCATCCAGTCTCTCTCTCTCTCTTTTTTTCCCCTTGCCATCTTTTTGTTAGTTCTAACTTGATTATCAAATAATTTTTATTTTTACACGATTACAGAAGTGCATTTCTCTGGGCTTCCAAAACCACCTTATTCAACCTCCCCCATCTGTCACCATCTGCTTCCCTTTAGCGTGCACTTTTTGTGCGATCGCATAAACACGTGAAAAATAACTAACGTGCAGATGACGGCCCGCCGGTACATTTGAGGACTGGGCATAATAAAAGTGAACTGCCAAAACGCACTTAACACTTTTAATTTTGTTGGGTCTTGCATGTGAGCCGCATTTGATTTTCAGGCTGTTTTGCAGTTGGAGGGCTGATCAGGTACTGCTAACTCAAGAGCAAAGCTGAGACTAAATAATTAGCGCTGCATAAAGTGGCTTGGATGCGGCGGCGAGAGCCAGCTCGGATAATAAACCTTAACAGGAAGGTCTGATGTGTGATTTCTAACTTTTTTTTTTTTAATCATTTCGAGGAGTGAAGAGGAGAGTTTGCAAAAAAAAAACAAATTCCCCTCAAAATATATTATTGTCCATAATGGATGGCAGGCCAGGTTTATTTCCTTCCAGTGGCGGTGAGAGCGAAAGCGCATTCATTTCTGACTACGTGGGCAAGTGCGTTTTTTTTGAGCTGTAAGTTCATCTCTTGAAAAATACATTATTCCCAGCCTCCCCCGCCCTCTAACACTAAAGATCCATAATTCATCCGAAGACCTCGGAGAACAAATATTTCAAAAATATTCCTTTTTCAACAAATGGCCTTTTTACACGGTAACACTTATCTCTTCTGGTGGTCTTTGCCACAGAAGAAACTTAAGCTCATTTAAAACTCAAGTTCACTTAAAAATCAGCGGTGAATCTGCCACAGAGCACGTTAAGCGGGCTGAGCTGGCTTTTCACAGCCTTTTGGAAGCATCTTTCAAATGCCTTTCACCTGCCTTTGCACAGCACAGCACTTCCGGCAGATAAGACCATGCAGAAGGTACAGGAAGGGGGGTCTGGGAGATGGGGGTGGAGGACACAGCCTCAGCAAGAGGAGGGGAAAGGCTGACAGGGAGCCGTTCCCCAGAGCATCAGTGCCAAGCACTGCATCCAGGTCTGACACACAACTCCCAGTTCCGTGCCCTCAAGGAAAGTCTGGCCCGTGTGGCTCAGTGGTTGAGCATTAGCCCATGCACCGGGAGGGGACCAGTTCCATCCGCGGTCAGGGCAACATGACTGGGTTGCAGGCTCGATCCCCAGTAGGGGGCATGCAGGAGGTAGCCGATCAATGTTTCTCTCTCATCAATGTTTCTCTCTTTCCCTCTCTCTGAAATCAATAATAAAAAAAAAAAAATTTAAAGAAAGGTGGGCATTAACACAGGGAAGTACAAGAAATTTCAGGGTTCAGCTTGTGCCGATCCGTCCAACTGACCATCTGATCACAGTGTGGCCTTCTCTCAATTCCGAAGGGTTTTCCCTCCTTCACAGACCCAGCCTAAGCCTGCATCCCCCCATCCCCCTGCTGCCTCTTCTCTTCCTGCTCCTGCCATCTCTCCTTCAGTCCCGCCACACCCTGCACAACTCCAGTCCAGCGGTTCCTGCTGCACAGAAATCGTTCTTCTCCACAGCTCATCACCTTAGCAAACACGAAGATACGTGAGGACAAAAACCATTTCTTACCATCTTTGTATTCCAGCATCTAACATGATGCATGGCACCTAATGAATATTCATGAATATGTCCTCAGTGGATGAATGAGTGTTCTTAGCGAAACGGTTCACATCCAAGACCAGAAGAACTCAGATGCTTGCTCTTAAGAGTGAACACGTTCAAAATTATCCTGGTTTAACAAACATGTAGGTGCTTGACAAAAAACACTTAGCTAAAACCGGTTAGCAGGCAGACTGAAGAGTCCCGGGTTCGATTCCGGTCAAGGGCATGTACCTTGGTTGCGGGCACATCTCCAGTGGGGGGGGAGGAGGGGGCAGTGCAGGAGGCAGCTGATTGATGTTTTAACTCTCTATCCCTCTCCCTTCCTCTCTGTAAACCATCAATTTTATTTATATATATATATAAAAATAATTTTTTTAAAGGCTTAATCACAAAATGAAATGTATATGGCCAACTAAAAATGAACTTACTCTACTATAGTTAGTACCTTTATGTTCATCAAGTTTATAAAATATCCTTGCCCTACAATATAATGTTAAACAGTGGAAGAAAAACAGATTTGGTTCATGCTGCAATCCAGGTAAGATAGTAGGAACTGCAAGTTTTGTTCATGCTGAAATGTCTCCCGGGCAAGCATTAGGTCAACGTTCCCTTTTTGTCTGAGTGGAGCCCCGCCCACCTCTGGCGCCAGGTACTCTGGGGTCCCACAGAAGGTCTTCATGGTGGCCGTGTCAGTGATCCCCTCTTTGCAAAGTCCGAAATCTGTGATTTTTATGTGGCCATCTTTATCCAGCATCAAATTCTCCAACTGCATAGGAAGAAAAATGACAGGATTATTTTACAGTCTTCCAATCTAGGAAAATACTGTTTGGAAACAATTATTGAATGCCGAGAAAGAGACTTTGGAAAGAGGACATAGTTGTTAATTGAACTTTCAGGACTTACAAACCCTGTGGTTTTGTAATTCTACCTAACAAAGAGGGAATATGCTATTGACCCTCACACCATCACAAAAATGGTGGCACCCACAGCCAATAAGAAGGAAATATGCTAATTGGCTGTCCCAACCTCAAACATGGCACCCACAGCCAATAAGGAGGGACTATGCTAATTGACTGCCATGCCCTCAAAGATGGCAACGCCTACAAAGATGGGGGTGCCCACAGCCACAAGATGGCGGTGCCCAGTCCCCTCAGCCCCACCTGCTTGCAGGTGGGCCCAACTGCTTCACACACATGCCTCTGGAGTCCCCCAGTCTCCTTAGCCGCCCAGGGTCTGCCTGAGGTGCAGGCAAGCCTCAGATGGCAGCTTCCCAGCCACCCAGGGCCACCCAAGGCTCAGGTAACCAGGGCTGGCTGAGGCTTGCGCTCCCGGCAGTGGCAGCAGCAGAGGTTTGATGGGTGTCACTTTCCCCTGATTGCCAAGTCGCCTCCTGCCCCTGAGGGCTCCCGGACTGTAAGAGGGACTAAGGGACTCCCCCTCCAGTGCATGGATTTTCATGCACTGGGCCTCTAGTTCAGGGGTCTTCAAACTACGGCCCGCGGGCCGCATGCGGCCCGCAGAGGAGTCTGATCTGGCCTGCCAGGTTTTTTGGGCAGTGAGCGCAGCCGAGGTGTTACAGTAGGAATTAGTAGTTCATATAGTCCAGCCCTCCAGCTCTCTGAGGGACCGTGATCTGGCCCCCACTTTAAAAAGTTTGAGGACCCCTGCTCTAGTTCATACATAAAAAGAAACACGTTTTATCAAATATTTTGATGATGAAATTATTATTTAATCTAATGGGAGTCAGAGCCATTACTGTGTAAGAACTAAAGCTCACCTAATTTCTCAAAGCAGAAACCAATCCTCTTTTTATGTAAATAAATTGTGACTTAAATAATCCCAAAGAGATGAGAATCGTTTTCTGGATACATACAGATGGTTTCCAACACGTTCTCTTGGGAATCTATTGCTATTATAAAATAGTCACGCACAGAAACGTTGTTTTTTGATGGTGGGTGCCAATCAAACCTAAATCGTATTGTGAAAGCTAAGGTGGTGTCCTCTTTTGCAGTTCTTTGTGATAAAGAAATACCAACCCTTTCAAACATAAAAAGGTAAAGAATGTCAAAGCCAAACAGTCAACAGTTAATAAAAATATACAGCACAGCCGAGACCAGTTTGGCTCAATGGATAGAGCGTCGGCTTGGGGACTGAAGGGTCCCGGGTTCGATTCCGGTCAAGGGCATGTACCTTGGTTGCGGGCATATCCCCAGAAGGGGGTGTGCAAGAGGCAGCTGATCGATGACTCTCTCTCATCGATGTTTCTAACTCTCTATCTCTCTCCCTTCCTCTCTGTACAAAATCAATAAAATATATTAAAAAAATATATACAGCACAAATATTATACAACTGGAATCTTTTTGAAGCCATTAATGAAAACACACCCAAGAGAATCTCAGAGATGTAACTAAGTAGCAAGATCATCTGCCTCAAGTGAAAATTATGACATGCAAGGGTAGAGTTTGTGCAAATCCCAATATCATTAAAAACAGCATCAATAACTGATCATTTTCCTCTCCTATTTTGAACCCAAAGCTATGACTGTCATCACATGTAGATGGTTCTGAGTTGTGATCAGATAGCCTTCCCCACTCATGTGGATATAAATACACATGAGAAATTAACAACAGAATGAATGAAAATTAACTTTCTAAATAATAGGCAACTTATTCTACTCCTCAGTGTGGCGATCTATGCAAGTAAATACTTACCTGAACTCTGAAGTCAATATCCAGTTCAAAACAAAACTCCATATATGAACATAAAGGACTGCATATACAATGGGATGCCATCATACTATTCTGTCACCCAGTGTCTTATAAACCAGAAATTAAATGCAGCAAAGCAAGCTGAGCTCACGGAAGGAAGACCAGACAGACCTATGTCCTCAGGGATGGTTCTAACTGTGCTCCCTGGCTGACCTACACGCTTCATACACGCTTCCTTTATGGGATATAGTTCAGCGAAGTAAGGCTCTGAGCGTTTCAAAATAAAAACTTTTATTTTCTCTAAATTCAGAAATATTGTGCCTTCCATATGCTTCTCCACTAGCTGGGACCTAAAAGAAAAGCCTAATTTGCACAAATGACAACGAGTCCATCTCTTCATCAGGCTTCCAGATTCCTCCCTTTCCCCTTTCTCTGCCTCCCTCTGCTAGCTTGCTGTAATGAGAAATGTACGTATTGACTGGAGAGTCTGTTGTTTTGTTGAATAAAAATATACATGTCCTGTTCCTAATTTTTAAGAAGATGTTAATGGCTTAAATGTAGGGATGTATTATAGTATATACCAGTGGTCGGCAAACTGTGGCTCGCAAGCCGTGGTTTGCAGCTTTGTTGACTTATGAGTTTGCCAACCACTGACCTAGACTCTTCATTCCAATAATTATAGGCTGTTGTTGTTCCTTGTGATTAAGTCTCTATCCCAGTGGTCGGCAAACTCATTAGTCAACAGAGCAGCAAATCTTGGAGCTGCAGTTTGCCAATCACTGCCTTAGGCTATTGACTTCTATGTGCCTCAACTTAATCTATAAAACGGAGGCAAATAACAGTAGCAACCTAATGTGATTGTTTTGAGAATTAAATGAGATACTGACTCTAGAACTTAACACACTGGAAGCATTCAATGACTGTATTGATCATTATTAAATGCTGGAGGCCGGGTGCACAGGATTCGTGCACTGGTTGGGGCGTGGCTTGCGGGGATTAGCCCACTGGTTAGCGAGTGGCTGTGGACCCGCCCTCTGAGTGGCTGCCTCCAAAGCGGAAGCAGCAGCTCATCTCAGTCAGGCACTGTGGAGGTACACTACCAGCAGGGGGCAGCTCCTGCATTGAGTATCTGCCCTCTGGTGGTCAGTGTGCATCATAGCAACTGGTAGACTGGTCATTCGAGTCATTCTGCCATTTGGTTGCTGGTCTTTTATTATATAGGATAGCATTTAATGGTCGATGTGTAAATTATTAGAATGGTGTGTGCTTTTCTAGATAACACATTTTTTAAAGAAAAGAAGAAAGTTCAAGAACAAAACCCTATGAAACACTTTTGTTAGCTCAGTGACTTAAGCAAAGCCATGTCTCAATATGCAATAAACAAACAAAACAAGTATTTCATAACTTTCAAGCCAGATATTGTAGTGTCCACCCTTTCCCATCAACTATTTTTCTACTCTCACCATCCTGAAATATCACTCTGCTGAGCAGCAATGACAAAAACAACTTGTCCTCCTGACAGTCAGACATGCATCACCTTAAAAAGAACACCCCAGATCCAGTGTATATGATAAGCCAGGGTAATTCACTATCCAGTCTTGTTACAATAGGTATTTTACACAGATGCATAACAACTCTCCGGAACATGTAAGGACCATTAGTGAGCCCGGCCGGCGTGGCTCAGTGGTTGAACATGGACCTGTGAACCAGGAGGTCACAGTTGGGTTCCCCGTCAGGGCACATGCCTGGGGTGCAGACTCGATCCCCAGTGTATGGCGTACAGGAGGCAGCCGATCCATGATTCTCTCTGATCATTGATGTTTCTATCTCTTTCCCTCTCCCTTTCTCTTTGAAATAGATAGATGGATTGATGGATGGATGGATGGATGGATGGATAGATGATAGATAGATAGATAGATGGATAGATAGATAGATGGATAGATAGATAGATAGATAGATAGGTAGATAGATACAGACTCATCAGTGTTGTGGAGGATGAGCAGAATCAATCACCCGGAAGTCCTTTCCAAGTGGAACACCTGGGCGTCACTTCCTAGCGCACCTAACACTAACGTACACAGGACCACAGGATTCCCACCCTCGGAGCGCTTCCACCAAATAAAGAAGGCATGCACACATCTACCAACGATCTCTCCTCGGCTCTCTCTCCTGAACACCCTGGCTTTCCTTCCTCCTTTCGTCAGCCACAGACTGCAGCACGCACGCTGTCGCTGATGGCCAGGGTCTCTCCCCGGATGAGCTCGGTGCATCTGCTTTATCGCCACACTCGGTCCTCGTTACCAGGGCATTATGCTCATGCCTAATGAAGGCGCCCACTGGCCAAAGCAATGATGAAGACAAACGGGGGGCTTGAGAGGAAGCATTATGTATTAGAAATCTGGTTTTGCTGCCTACTCATATCAGAGGGCTGTCATCTAACAGTTCTGAGCAGCGCGTGCCTTGAGGAGAGAGGACATATTACCCAATACGCCTCATGGAGTTCCCATAACAAAGCCACATTTTTACCCAGTTTAAGGGGACAGGCATTATGTGACAGAGGGTATGGATCAGCGTCTGAATGAGAAAATGTTAGCGCTGGAAATCTCTGTCCTCTGTGCCCCATGCACAGGAAATTGTGGCAAGAAAGCGCTATGGTTCTGCTCTGCTGGGACCAGGAGGAAAAGGGGACTCTTAAAGACCCAAAGCTGTGTTATCTGTATGGCTTCTCAAACCTGTACCGCTCCTCCTGCTACAGTAAAGATGGAATCTGTGGGGAGTACCAGGATCGGTGCTGCTGGAGGCCAGAAGTGACTGGCCGGAGGCAGAAGTGATGGCCCTTTTTAAAATGTAAATCAATGGGGGAGGGGCGGGCAATGGTAAAATATGTACAGAGATAATAACTTAATTTTTTAAAGAGTAAAAAAATAAAATAAAATGCAAATCAAACCAACGCCATACTATATTAAAATGCTGCAGGTGTTTAATCTGCCAAAAAAGTGAACACCAAAATCAAGCCAAATATTTTCCTCCAAAAAAAGTCTTATTATAAAATTTCTTCATAATACATCATCGGATGTTAGACTCTCATAATGAAGCTTATTTTAAAATGTCACTTGCGAAGTTACTTGACTTTTAATCAGATGTTTAATATCATCCAGCACAGTTACAGAAAACTCAGACTGTTATTGGTAGATTGTACTTCATCTGGGCACCCAAGCAGAAAGTATTATACATCAAAATCTCGGGCATAGGCCTGTGTGGCTCAGTGGTTGAGCCTCAACCTATGAACCAGGAGGTCACAGTTCGATTCCCTTCAGGGGAAAATGCCCAGGTTGCGGGCTCAATCCTCAGTGTGGGGTGTGCAGGAGACAGCCGATCGATCCATGATTCTCTCTCCTCACTGATGTTTCTCTTTCTCTCTCCCTCTCCCTTCCTCTCTGAAATCAATAAAAATATATTTCTTTAAAAAATCTTTTAAACGATATCCATAGCCGTGACTGCCATTTCCTCCCAGGTGCAGTACCCACCACATCCTTAAACAGAGTGCTTTCTGCCCCACTCAGCGTGCCTTTCTCGGAGCGGCGTGACTGTAACTGCGCTGTCTGTCCCTCGGCCTCTCCCGACGGAAACGGGCGGGCCGTCTGGTGCGTTTACCTTGAGGTCTCGGTACACGATCTTGCCCGAGTGCAGGTAGTCCAGCGCAGACACGATCTCGGCGCCGTAGAAGCGCGTGCGGTCCTCGGAGAACACGCGCTCCCTCGACAAATGGAAAAACAGCTGCGGGGAGACAGCGGGGACGGGGGTTGTAATCATTACCGATTTAGTGGGGAATTAGCACCAACATAAAACCCCTCTCCGCGCCATATTGTGCTGATAGATGGGGTACTCTCCGCGGACACACAGCCTCCTGGCCGGCAGCTGGCTCGGCTCCCCAGGTTTCTGGGGGGTTGGGGGGGGGGGGGGGGGGAGCCTACGGGCTGTCAGACCAGCCTTTCCATCAATGCACCCATCTTGGGAAGGCAGTCTGCATGCTCCTGTTTAACCTCCATCACCGGAGGAAGAGGGATGCGCCATGGATCCCCACGTGTCCCCTCCCTCTCGGCTGCTCCCCGTTCCCGGACTTTATTAACAGATAATACAGATAATAATTTAATTTTTTTTTTTTAAAGGAGACTTTATTAACTAAGTGCACACGGGCAGCGAGGCAGCCGCCCTGTTTAACGACCCCGTTTGCATCTGGTTTCGGGGGGAGGACGGGTTTGCTGCAGCTGCCCTGCATGCACTGGCTCTGTCCTGCGGCTGCTGACTCGGCTCGCTGCCTCTGCAAACATCCCCACGGTTTGCATCGTGTTTCCATGGTGAGAAGCGGGAAGTGATGTCCACGGCGGCCTGAGAAGCTCCCATCAGCCCCCTGTCATTCTCGACGCCCATTCTTTCTGTCTCCACTCTTTTCTCAGACAAACACGTGAATAGCAAGCCCAGCCATCCCTCAGCTGATCGCCACTCGACAGCCTACAAGTACTGGTTGGGTGTCCTCTGTGCCCAAGCACCCAGCCCCCCCCCCCCGGCTCAGCCATCTCTCTGCAAGCTGCCTCTCCCATCTCCCAGGCGGGCCATGGAGAGAAGGAGCAGGCCTCCAGCAGATGGACCCCTGGTGGCCCATCTCACTGGACCGAGAAAGCCCAGGAGCAGGAGGGCTTGTGGGAGTGCTGAGCACACCGCCAGGCATCCGGCAGATGCTCCACAGACGTCTGTGAGGGTAGAAGTGGCCCCCAGTCAGGGGGCTCCTGGCTGCAAGATGAGAGATCAGCGATACTGTCCCCCGGATGAGTGCCTCCCAGCGCTTCCACAAGTTTCTAACAGGCCTAGTTAACCACGTGTGTGCCTCGCAGCCCAAACCATAACTCGGTGACACACACGGGGGGCCCTAAGGTTCCGTCCTCCCTTCCCCACCTCCGTCTCCCCTGAGGAGCCTGTCATTGTACTGACATAGCTCTGTGCCTAGCCCACGGTCACAATAAAGAAGAGAGGCAATATCATGTACCTATCGCCAAAAACGACTAGCCCAACACTAGTTAAGGCAAAGCTAAACTAGTAGGCCGAAGTCGCTAAGCTTTAATGCTCTATCATATTGCCCTGTTTTATCAGCCCCAAGACGCTACTGACTGGGACCCTATCATTATTTATGTTTACACCAAGCAAGAAAAAAAAAAGTCAAAAAAGGCAAATAAAATCTATGGCATACCATCAAATATAAAAGGCATTCTCAATGCAGAAATGTTAACTGTGTCAGACCAAGAATTCAATACACTATGCCAAAAAATCAAACTAGTGTGTAACAATTCCTCAGGAAAGTTTTTAAAAATATTTACTTTATATAAGCATATATATACATATATATACACATATATATATAACACATATTATGTGTTATAATGCGTAATGCATATAAACAGACATATCTACACAATGCATTACCATTCAAATAAGGACAGTGAGTAGAAAGAAACATGAACCATCAGTAAAACCATTCTGAATAATTTCTGGGTCAAAGTAATTTCTGCCATGCTTTATTCAACATATCACTAACTCTGGTGAGTGAACCTGGGCCTTCTATGTAGATTTGTAGATTTATGGTAGTGTTCTAATGGAATGAGAATAGTGGTTAAATTTATAAATTTTCTTAAAATAACATCAAACCTGCTACCCACTCATCTACGGTACAAAACTTATGGATGCTCCCTCCATCAATATAATGCATGCGGGATTCTAGATCTTTATTTAGACCACACATATCTTCGATTTGTCTCCCAGCCAATTTCCATAAAAACAGATGCTAAAGGTTTTACTTAAGGAGAATTCTATTTATTTCTCAATCTGCTGTCCTCCGAGCCTGCCCCTGCTATTTTATGGGACTTACTCTTGTTACGATAACCAAGAACCTCTTAATTGCCCAATCCGATGACTTACAGACCAGACCCCTCCTTCCTGTTCTGGAGCTTAGCCATCACCCCCAGTCCTCTCCGGAAGCACGTCTTTGGCTGTGGTCATACAACCCTTTCCTGCCTACCTAACTCGCTGTACATTTCTTGGCTGGGAGCCAAGTTTCCAATCAATTATTTTAAAGCTCCCATGTCAGCATGGGAAGAGAAGAGAGAATATATTTAATGACAGAGACAATTCCTGACCTCAAGACATTCAACTCAGAGGAAGAGACACGTGCAGAGATAAAATCCATGAGAGCTGTGATACGTTGTCCACTTCTGATGTTAAAAATGATTTGGAGGCAAAGGATGACTAATCTTTGTTGAGATGACCCGAGGAGGCTTCACAAATAAGGATGGAACTTTTCGCAAAAGGAGAATCTTATTAATATATTGAAGCCTATCAAAGACCGCTACTCAAGCTGTTTCCACCTTTGTGTCTCTAACACGGCCTCGTACAGAACATGCACAGAGTAGTCAACTAATCAATGCTTGATCAAGAGTTAATACTAAAAAGAAAAAGAAAGCAACGGCAAGAAAACACACGCAAGGAACTCCCCCAGTTGACGAATAACCCACATTCCAGGCAATGCCCGGATTTAAGTAAAAAAAAGGATGAGGCCACATCTTTTAGGACCTTGACTGCCAAGATATGGGGGTGGAGATTTAATATTCTGAGATAAGAAGCTTCAAAGAATTTGGGGTGCAAACAATTAGGATAATTAAACAACAGTTCTGGCAGCAACTGGAGCACCCGTGAACCAGATCCGAGCCTACGGTCTGGCAAACACTGCGTAAAGCTCAACAGGAACGTCGCCGAGCACCTGTCGGCGGGAGTTCTGTGAAAAGCTGACACAACGAGAGAACGTGGTAGCAATCCGCAAGGACATCACGATTAGGACAGAACAGCCGGTGACCTGAGCAGTTCTGCTAACGGTATGGCAGTCATAAAATAGAGAGCGCACTGGAATTAGCGAATGAGCAAGTCAGACAATATCTGACAACATCAGAAGGCACACATGAGCTGAATGACAGCTCAGAGGCCTCAACCGCAGCAGCTCAAGAGTCAAAATTCCAGAGGGAACGAGCTTGCACCAATTGGGGTCAAGGGAGAGAGTAACAGTGTTGGGGTGTCCTTGGATGACTGAGTAGATGCTACAGCCAGCAGCGTTGGGAAAGAAAATGGGGACAGAGGAGCAATGGGTCTTGTTTGACCTGTTAACATATAAAGACGCATTGGACACCACAGCTTTGAAAGTGGGCCCGAGGGTGTAGAGGTAGACATGAGAGTCATTTATAGGAAGATATTGTTACAACCGAGGCGGCATGCGACAGCCCAGGAATTCAGCAGAAGGTGAGCACAGAAGAAGCTCAGAATCTTAGGAACCACCACACCGGGGGCAGGAGAAGGGAGCAGGACGCTGAGGCAGAGACCTGGCAGTGTGAGAGGAAAGAAGGATGTGCCTGAAGAACGAAGGAAAAGCAAGTTTCCAGAAGGAATTCGCGTTGACCAGGCCCAGGAATGAGGTCATTTGCTACCTTCCTGGGAAGAGATGTCATACTTACGTGGGCTCAGAAGAGGATGCAAAGGCAGAAATGGTACGTGACGCCTTCAGGAAAAAATGGATGAGGTGAGCCAACATATTGCTGAAATGGAAGATTTCTGCTACAACGTATTATGTAATGCTTTCAGGGAAACTTCTGCCTAAAGAAATGGAGCGATGCTGTACCGTAAAGCTACAATTCATATGGGAGAGGCACACCAATGGAAAGACCAATAAAATCAGAAGGCCACAATCTGGTTATTTTATAAAAAGTTGGTACCTGATAACACTGATGATGATGATGTATGCCAAAGTAGATGAGAAAAAAAATGACAAATAAATGGTGATACAATAGTTGGTCAAATTTGGAGAAAAGTAAAACTGAATTTTCATCTTGTACCATAACAACATACATTTCAGTTAAGTATAAAATATGATACTTTTTTAAAAAAAAAAAAGTTGAAAATATGAATCAATAGTTTTCAGATCTCAGGATGAGAGATTTTCCAAGCAGAAAAGAAATGAAACAAAAACAGACAAGGAAACCCTGGTAGACTCAACTCCATGGAATAGCAGCGATATAAACGACATTGAATATTTATAGGAAATATGACAACCCAAATGTCCACCACCGGCGGACAGATGAGCAAATGTTGGTGGAGCCAAGCCATACATATGGATGGTGACTCAGCAGCAAAGGCGAGCTACTGAGAAATGCAACCGCATGCATCAGCGCCAAGCATAAGGCCGAGAAAAAGAGCAGACCCAACAAAGCGTGTGCTGTCTGACTCTGTGGCTGAGGAATGTTAGAGATGGTGAAGGGAGTCTGGAGAGCCAGAGAGCTGATCACTGGCCGCCTGGGGCCTCCTGTGGATGCCGACGGGGAGAGGGGATGGGGCGGGAAGGCGCCCCAGAACTTTCTGAGGCAACAAGAATAGTCTGTATCTTTATTGTAAGGAGGCCTCCATGTACAGTTATTTGTCAAAAGTCACATGAAGTGAGCCCATCTTACTGTATGTTGATTATACATGCTTAAGTAATGGGAACAATCTAAATGGTCAAAAATTTAGTAGGAATTTAATAAATTATAGTGCGTCCACAGAATCAATGAGTAGACGATGAGGATGTATTTCATGATATTAAATAAAATAAAAATATATGTAAGTATAAAAACAGGAAGATGTATTAACGTGGTAATGGCAGTTATTGCTAGGTGGTGAGGTTTAGAGTAGTTTTTATCTTGTTTTAT